TGTATTTTGCTCTGGGAGGTTGGGGGGAGGGAGGGTTGGAGGGGGGGGGCAGGGTTGTGGGGGAAGGAGGAATGGGGAAGGGAAAATATTTGTAAAATTTATTAAAACTCTTTAAAAAAAAAGATTGCACTTGATGGGAGTGACAGGGAGGAAAATGCTCCCCCCATGGAGAAATGCTTCTCCTTTGGGGTCTGCAGTCAGCTGCCCCCTCCCCCATTCCTGGCCCGGGTGGGAGACGCCGCAGACGGGACTTCCAGATGTGGCTTGTCAATAGTGGCCACGGAGCCCCCCTCCCCAATTGCATTTCGCATGCGCATGCGTGCTCTGACTTCGGAGGCTATGCGGAGCTGCGCTCCGTGGGCGGGTGACGGAGAGCGTCTTCTCTCCGAGTAAAAACCATCGTGGCGGCTAGGGGGAGCTGCTCGCTGTCGCCCGCAAGACTTTCTGGACGCGAGGAGCCGCCGTACTTCAGCCAGGATATCCGGCCGGGGGGGTGGAAGCGGCGGCCCTTTCTCAGCGGAACGCGGCCATGGTGAGTACGCGGCTCTTGGCTCGCGCCTCCCGGAATCCCTCGCCATCCGTCGGCCTAATCTGAGCGGAGCGCCCCGGTTGGCGGCAGGAGGACCGGCAGCCCGGCGGGGCACCGCGTGGCCGCTTTTTGGCAGCAAAGCGCCCTTCTGGTCCCAAGGAAGGCCGGCTTCGGAAGATGCGAACGGAGGGGCCGGGTCGCTCCCGCACTCGGCCTGCTCCAGGCCAGGAATCCGGGCTGGGCCGCCGCAGCTCCGGGGCCAACGTGGGGATGGGTCTCGCTTGCTTTCCTCGACCACCTGTGTAACGGCTGCTTTGCGCGGTTCTTGCAGGCTCGTGGACCCAAGAAGCACCTGAAGCGGGTGGCCGCTCCGAAGCACTGGATGCTGGACAAGCTGACGGGAGTCTTTGTAAGCTCGGCCGGTCAAGCACGCTGCCTTGGGGATGCGGGGGTGGGGAATGGTTCCCCTTAACGTGGCCTGAAGGCGGGCCGCTTGCACGCTTGGGCTTGGTCGGGTGGAGCTCCCAAGCCTTGAGCCCCTTGCAGAGATGCGGTTGTGCTAGAGGCCTTCCGCTGCAGCGGCCCTTCTGGCATTCTTGCTCCAAACCACAACTTTGGTGCGTTCTTGTTAAGATAAATGCCGCAGCCTTGAGTGTGGCATGCACTGAATGGGAGGGAAGGAGCCTATGGGCTTTTCCCACAAAAAGCTGCCTGCTATTGATATTGAAAGAGGGAGAGAGAGAAGAGAGGGAGGGGGAGAGGAGAAGGAGAGCATCCCTGCCCTGTGGATGCCTTGACCCCTTTCCTGTGCCCTGAAGGGGGATTGATGGGGATATTGTGTGTGTGTGAGAGAGACTTTCCACTGTCTTTGTATTTACAGGCACCCCGTCCATCGACAGGACCCCACAAACTGAGGGAATGCCTCCCACTTATCATTTTTCTCAGGAATAGGCTTAAGTATGCCCTGACTGGGGATGAGGTCAAGAAAATCTGCATGCAGAGGTTTATCAAGATTGATGGCAAAGTGCGCACAGATATTACCTATCCGGCCGGATTCATGGGTTAGTAGTGAAAGTTAAGTTTGGGCTGGGCTGGGCTGGGGAGGGCAATCTGTAGATTAGAAAAGGGAAATATACAAAAGAAATTAAGTACATATTAACACATCTGCTAACTACAGCTAGAATAGTATTTGCCCAATGCTGGAAACAAAATAATACCCCCTTGGACGAATTAGTGATTTAAAAAAAAACTTTGGATTGTGCAGAGATGGACAAATTAACACTGAAATTAAAAGATAAAGAAGAGTTGGAATATTAT